GGGGCAGAGCTCCAGAGCTCCCCATAGCACTACAGTGGAGCAGAGATAACCTGTGACACCTTCCTTGGGACTCACACTGCCACAAACAGATTCTGCTACACAAATAATCTCTCACCACTTTCTCCATTTCTTCTCTCTCCCACTGAGTGGCTTCTCTCACCATTTCCATCTCCTAGGAGAGAGCAGAGTTAGAGCCACCTCACCCAGTGCTCTCTCCACCCCTGCAGCATCTAGAACCTCACAAAGGTGTCACGTCCCATCCTAGCGAGCTCCTGATCCCAGTGCTGGGTCCTGCTGGTCCCATGCCATGGCCATGCCCAGCACACTGCAGGCACCAAGGGAGGCACCAGACATTTCCAGAACCTGCTCCCAGCTCACACACCTTCTGCAGGATCTCCAGCTCCTCGGGGCTCAGATCCCTGTCGATGGAGGAGATGCTCTCCAGGCTGTTCTTGCGCCCGATGCCAGCAGCAAAAGGGTTTGCAATGATTCCTGGGGACATCTGCAAAGAAAACAGCAAATCACACCTAAAATTCCCTATTCCAACCTCCCAGATACACAGTACCAGGACAATCCCGAGCAAGCCAGAACCAGAACTCTTTCAACAACTTGAAACCTTGTTCCATAGAATCCCAAACTAGTTTGGGTTGGAAGAGGCCTGAAGAGCATCCAGCTCCATCCCTGCCATTTAGGCTGACAATTAATTGGTTGAGGAACCCAGGGTCTAAGTAAAGTGAATTTAAATTCATCCTGGTACAAGAAGGGGATAAGGTGAGCAAGGACTGGCTCCATGTTCTACTGGAGAATACAAAAGCTGACTAGCTAAGCCTTGGAAACAGAAATCTGAGAGGGCACAGGATTGCTCCAGGGAAGTGGGGAAAGATGAACACCAATAGAGAGCCAGACCATTTGTTGTACATGTAACACTGGCCAAGAAAAAGTAAGCATAAATAGCCTAGTGAAAATGAGCTTGAAAACTTATTTTTTTTTTCAGTGCAGTGCTATTGTGGGACAGTTCTGGAACCATAGGAGAAAGAGAGTCCTGAGGAATCACTGCTTTTCTGCACTGGACACCCCCTTCAGTTCATATCACAGGTCAGACTTTGAAACCTGGGACCTCAAAAAACCAAAAAAATTTACAGCAGAAGGCTGGGAAAATGCAGCGTTCTGTGAATAAAGAGGTGGGATGCACGTGGGGGTGCAGGTGACTCCAGGGCAGGTGCAGCCCACGCTCACCTCGATGGCAGCCGCAGCCTTGGGGTCGAAGCCGTCGCAGACCAGCACGAGCAGCGCGTCGCCCACGCCCCGCAGGATCTGCACGGCCTCCGTGTGGGTCATGCCCAGCAGGCTCTGGTGGTTCACCTCCAGGATCCTCATCCCCACCTGCAGGCGCCCGTCCCGGGCAGCAGCCCCGGAGGAGCTCACCTGGAACACACCTGAGGTCACCCCTGGGCACCCAGGGGTCAGGGGAGCAGCTCCGAGCACACAGGAGAGCCTGGGGCCGTGGGGAAGGGTGGGCAGCACACACAGCAACGGGACAGCAGCTTCCCCTGCAGCTGAAACCAGGGGAAGCATCTGCAAGTGCCATGGAGAGGGCACAACCTGTACAGGCTGTGGGGAAGAACGAGTGGGGGAGAATCTTCTGTGTGAGATAAAAGAATGTGAACTTGTAATGTGCTGTCCCAAGGAAAGAAGCAAGGGAGAGGGAAAAGCTGTCACATCTCGATGCATCTCCCAGAAATGCATCTCACATTCTGTGGTGGGAGAGAGACACAATGGAAATGCAAATGAAGACAAACTAAGGAGAAAGGAGGCAGGGATCAGACATGCAAAGAGGGAGAAGAGGAAAAGCACCACTTTGTCTCTTGGTTACCACAAAATATCCAGGGAAAATCAAAGGCAGGAAAACCCCTCCAGACAGGACAGGTAAGAGACGCTGAGGGTGAGTAACACAGCTCAAGGGAGAGCAGGGAAGTTCAGGAATTTGGTTCTCTGCTAAAACAACAAGTATTGGGAAAAACAGGGAGGGGAGATGGGGTAAACTAACTCTAAACTGTGACCCTTCCAACCCCCACATGCTGTAATATGCAGTAGACAAAACCCAATTACTCAAAATAACTGTCAGTTAGAATAATCCCAGGTTTTCTTTTCCTGCTGTTACAAGTGTCCCAGGTGAACGTGCAACTGTCACTCTGAAAGAGGAAATTTATTCTTTTAACTTTAGAACTCAGATAAAGCAGTTAGAGCCACATAACAAAAATTCTGAACGTTCCCTTGCCTTAACAGCAACCAGTTATCAATTATCAGGGCTGACTGCCAATTATGGAGTGTCCTCAACCATGAGGATAACTCACATCAGTTTCTACCCCAAAAAAACCCACTGAGGAGGGGACCAGTGACACTAAAGTGAACACCCAGAGTCCTCTTTGTCAGCAGCAAGACCAAAATGACACCACTTATTGCTGTGCTCTGCTGCCAGCAAAGAAGAAGCAATAAAAACTTTTTTGAAGGAGTTGGGAGGAGCATAAATTGATAACCATAAGTTGAACAAGAAAATGTGTAATTTCTGGAGAAACAGCTATGTGAGAAGTATGTGTGACACAAGCAGCCACCTAAAAAAGGAACAAAGTTACACACAGGGTGCATGGCACAGGAGAAAAGGTTGGGAATTCCTGGTGCTTTCCATGGAGGGAGGAAAGAGCTTGCATGTCTAAGTGGGCAGGAAGCCACAGGCACAGGGGCACCAGTAGAAATGTGGGTACAAGGAAAGATGTGTGGGTTTGCATTAGAGAAAAAACACCAGAGAAGAAACACAAAGCAAAATAAGGCAAGCAGGAAATAAAATAAGAAACTGTGCAGCTGTTGTAGAGGAGGAAATATGAAGGACAAGGACTTGTCTCCTTTGCTGAGGGAGAATCTCCAGAGCTGATGCACCAGTGAAAGCTGAGAGCAGATTCCAACACTCCCCAGGGATCAGGGATCACCCTTGTCCCTGGCAGTGCTCAGAGAGCTGCTCTGGTACCTTGGAGATGAAGATGCCTTCATCAGTGGGATCAAACGGGTTGCCAGCATGGCCCTTTGCTCCACCCCGGATGCTGATGCCCAGCTTCTCTCCTGGAGCCTTTTCAATGCATATTTCCTGGAAACACAGAAAAGTCTCCTTGTTTCTGGCCCAGCTGAGGAGACACTCCTCGGAGTGACCACAATTCTAAATGCCCTGAAAAGGGCCTGAATTAGTCCCATCCCTCATGTGGCAGTTTATTCCTGTTGGTGAGGACCTGCCCTTTTCTGTTCCCTGATGACAGAGCCACCAGGCCATGGCAGGAGATCCTCACCACATCCCAGCTGGAGATGCACTGACAAGAGACTGGATTTTGCCAAAGGAGAAGGAAATTCCAGCCAGGAGTCTGGTTGTATCCTAGTCCCAGAGCTCCAGCCTGCTGAGAAGCTGCCCCCAGACACCACCCTGTGTGATTCCTCCCAGCTCTGACTCAGCACCCACCTGCATGCCAGGTGGAGGGGGTCCCTGGCACTCACCTGCATGCCAGGTGGAGGGGGTCCCTGGCACTCACCTGCATGCCAGGTGGAGGGGGTCCCTGGCACTCACCTGCATGCCAGGAGGAGGGGGGTCCCTGCGGACCAGCAGGGTGAGCTCCTGGCCGTTGGCCAGCAGGGCGTTCACGGCCTCCTGGTGCGTGGCGTGGCGCAGGTCGGTGCCGTTCACCTCCAGGATCCTGTCCCCCACGCGGAGCCCGCTGCGCGACGCCAGCCCCCGCGGGATCACCTGCACAGGGACACCCACACAGCTACAGCAGGGAAACCCACCTTCACACCCCTGCAGATGGGGCCGTGTCCCTGGGCACCCTCCAGAGCCCTGCAGGCCTGCTCTGACTCCTCTCTCTGCAGACAGAATTCCCTAAGAGGTGACACCGCTGGCAAAGAACGAAGTGGGATGTGCTCTGAAGTGCTCTTCCATGTGTTATTCTCATATTCCCAATTTAATCTGAACCAGTCCTGTGCCAGTGTTGCCATTATTTTGCCTGTGACTGTAACCAGGACTGACAGCATCAGTCCTCACCCAGTGCTCTGCAGAGGCTCTGACAGCTACAGAGGGTCTGAACATACAACCAAGCCTTTGTTCCTGGTGAAATAGAGAAGTCAGCAAGGAAAGGGCGAAATCTGTGAGCACATGGGCAAGCAGGGATGGTGGGAAAGAGTTAGTTAGGCTTTGAGAAGAGCAAATCCTGCCTCACTGACCTGCTGATGACCTGCAAGAAAAACCCTGGGCACACAAAGCAAGAGACCTGGCAGGCATCAGTGCCAGAACTCCAAACAGCCCTTGACAAGGTCTGACCCCAGCCACAGGTGTCAGAGGAGTCAGGCTCAGCATCTCCAAGGGACAAGGGAGGGCAGGAAGTAGAAAGGCTCAGCAGGGATGTCCTCTCTCTCCAGCATCCCTATCCCAAGGAGCGTGGACGGGCAGGGCTGTGAGGGAATGGGCTGCAGCCAGTGGCCAGCCTGTGGCTGTCCCTGAATGGCACGAGCTGATGTCACCACTGCAATGGGAACGTGGGATCAAAGGATCTGGCCTGAGTGCAGCAGAGCAGCTCTGGGTGCCCCAGTAATCACACACAGCCCATCAGCACTTTCCCAGTAATGACTGGCTTTCTGCAATGCCAGCATCTTCCCAGACTCATTAAAGCCAACATGAACTCAGCAATTTCAAAAGTTAACTGGGATCCTTCCAAAGGGTTCAGTAAGGATTATACAGGTTTGAGGCTTTTACATCCCTAAATGCCTCAGATAGCTCCAGCAGCAGCACACCCAGAACAAACAGCCCTTCACACATCCCTCTCCCGTGCCCTCGTTTCACAAATCCATCCTGTACATCTGGACTCACATCAAAATCCTTCACCCTAATCCCAATAGCCAACAGCTCAGGAACACTCAGAGCAGCTCTCCTGGGACTCTACCTTGGAGATGAAGACACCTGGCTCATGAATCCCGAAGGGATGACTGGAATGGTCACTGCCTCCCACGATGCTGAGGCCCAGGGGACCACCTGCTTTGACCAGGTGAATTTCCTGAAGGGAACAAGAAGCAGTGTCAAGGCAATGAAGGATATCACATGGGGACCACAAACACTGACAAACATGGAGTCAGGCGTGTTTTGCATGGGTGAGCACAAGGTGAACACTCATGGGACAAGGGGGTTCCCCATGTGGGACTCTGCAACCTGGAGAAGGGCTGGTATGGGGCTCCAAGAGAGCTGGAGAGGGATTTTGGACATGGAGTGACACAAGGGGGAATGGGATTCCCCTGAGAGTGGGCAGGGTTGGATGGGATACTGGGGAGAAATCCTTCCCTGAGAGGGCAGGCAGGCCCTGGCACAGAGTGCCCAGGGCAGCTGTGGCTACTTCATCCCTGGAAGTGTCCAAGGCCAGGCTGGACGGGGCTTGGAGCAATGTGGGATACTGAAAGGTGTCCCTGTAATAGTGGAATATCCCTGGGCTAGTGGAAGGTGTCCCTGCCAATGGCAGGGGTGGGTCTGGATGGGCTTTCAGGTCCCTTCCACCCTAAGCCCAAGCCTTTCCACAATGACATCTCCAGGCTCCAGGAGCCCAGCAGGCTGGTCCCCATCCTAACACTGACCCTTCACACAGAACCCAGTCAGGTCTGCAGTGTCCCAAAGCCTGGTCCCCATCCTAACACTGACCCTTCACACAGAACCCAGTCAGGACTGCAGTGTCCCAAAGCCTGGTCCCCATCCTAACACTGACCCTTCACACAGAACCCAGTCAGGACTGCAGTGTCCCAAAGCCTGGTCCCCATCCTAACACTGACCCTTCACACAGAACCCAGTCAGGACTGCAGTGTCCCAAAGCCTGGTCCCCATCCTAACACTGACCCTTCACAGAGAACCCAGCCCCCATTGCAGTGGCCCCAGCCAGGGCTGCAGTGTCCCCAGCCCCCTTTGCCGTGTCCCCAGCCCCCTCTGCCGTGTCCCCAGCCCCAAGGCAGGCTCACCTCGATGGGGTACTGATCCTCCAGCCCCTTGCACAGGTGGTTCCTCGGCGCTGCAGGTGTGTCCTCGGGCGGGCTGTGGCTGTCCCCGGGCCCGGGGGGCGGGGGGGAGTGCATGCGGGCTCGGGCCGAGGAGCCTCCGTGGCCCTGGCCCGGCTGCTCCTCGCCCTCCCGCTCGACCAGCAGCACGATGGTGGGGGAGGCCGCGGTAAGCAGCGCTACGGCCTGATCATGCCTGGCTTCTGTCATGTCTACCCCATTGATCTAGAACGAGCCGCAAACGGGGCGTCAGACCCAGCCCTGGGGAGCCCTGTCCTGCTGGCACGCGGCCCTGCCCAGAGCCCTGTGCCCCAAACACCTCGCACCTGTCCCAGCTCCCTCCGACCTGGCAAAGGGACACAGGGGCCTGCTCATTCCCACTGACCCCAATTCCCTTCCTAGCCAGCTTTCCTGCCTCTTTCCCACATTCCCTGCAGAGCCCTGACATGGTGCTGGAGGGGACCACGCGGGCCAGGTGTGATGTTCAAGGGACCACAGCCAAATGCCTCACTGTGGCAGAAACAAAACCAGTGACTGCCAGTAGCAACG